TGATTTGATGATGAGATGAGATGATGATGAAGACGATTATGCCTGATGAATGATGCTGATAGATGATGAGGATGATGATGAGATGATGCTGATGATTGATGATGCTCATGATGAGATGTTATTGATGATGACATGATGAGATTATGTGAATGCTGGATGATGATGAATGATGCTGATGATGATGATGCTGCGCCTGCTTCTCTGCTGCTGCTGCTGATGATGATTATGATGATGGTGTGGTTGGTGGGTGGTGCATGATGTGATTATGATTCAAGATTGGAAAAATGATGATGATGATTACGACGATGATGATGATGATCATGATGATGATGATGATCATGACCATGATGATGATGATGATGATGATGATGATGATGATGATGATGATGATGATGATGATGATGATGATGATGATGATGATGATGATGATGATGAGGAGGAGGAGGAGGAGGAGGAGGAGGAGGAGAGAATGCGTAGGAGGAGGAAGGGGGAGCAGGAAGAGGAGGCAAGCAAAAGAGCTAGAGGTCCTTTGGATGCCTCTTGGGATATCTCTTGGGCGCTGCTTGGAGGCCTCTTAGGACGTCTTGGGGGTCGCTCGGCGGTCCTGGAGGGCTCTTGGGCGTCTTGGGTGCCTCGGGGGGTCCTCTTGGGGCCGCTGGGGGTCCTCTTGGGGGCCTCCTGAGGGCCTCTTAGGGCCATCTTGGAGCCATCTTGGGGCCATCTTGGGGCCTCTTGGGGCCTCCTGGGCGCCTCTTGGGGCCATCTTGGAGGAGATCGATCAAAGAAAGGAAGGGTCGCAATTAACATTGCCCCTCGGGAGCCCCCAAAGGCCAACATGGGGCCCACACCCGAGCAAAACCAATGATTTTGGCTTCCTCGCCGAGGCAGTTTCGGACGCTCCAACGACCCGCGCAACGCCCCGCCCAGGTCCAGGGGAGGGGGTAAGGGGAGGGGACGCGGGAGGGGTTGAAGAGGAAACGCCCCAAACCACCTACGCCTAGAGGGGTGGTGGGATTGGTATTTCTCTGCGCGTCCCATGCGCCTCCCCCAGCGGGGAACGAGCACGACCCCGAGCGTGCTGCCTCCCCTCCCCGCCGCAGGCTCCTGGCGCCCCCAGCCTTTGTGCCGGCGCCAGCCGCGCGCGCCACGCCCCAGGAGGCGGGGGGGGGCCCGCCAATGTAGCCTTTTTGCCATCTCCTCCCTCCTCCTCCTTCTTCTCCTCCTCCTCCTCCTCCTCCTCCTCCTCCTACTCCTCCTCATCATCATCAGAATCATCATCATCATCATCACCATCATCATCATCATCATCATCATCATCATCATCATCATCATCATCATCACAACCAGGGGCTAGCGGCCGCCCAAGCTTTCTCGCCATAGTACTTGCTGCTGTATGCGCCTCCATATTCCACCCGTCGGTCGAGTTCCTCCTGACGAAGAGCCTTCACAGCATCAGCTGGGACGGCTTCCATATCGCGCCCCAGGTCGCTGGCGAGAAGCGACCCACAACCGACAACGACTTCTACGACAACGCGCTGCAGAGCGACTCGCTCTACCTCCCACAACGGCAGAGTATTTCACAATGGCATCCAGTGAAAGTAGCGCCAGCAGTTCTTCTTCAGCCACCAAAGATCGACGTCGACGGCCACGCAAAGAACGGGAACGAGACCGCAGAGACAAAGGCAGAGGAGACGGCAGCCACTCCCGCAGTGATAGAGGTCAACGAAGTGATAAGCATAGATCCGAACGCCCTCCTTCTCAAGATCGGGACAGACGACGTGATGAACGTGAAGCCCCCCGTGAACATGAGAGTGGGGCTGCACAGCGAGCTCATCCCCCACGTGCGGGCCGAGCAGGCACAGCCACAGCTACCACCCCCACCCGCAGGGCAGCGCGCAGTGGAGGACCTTCGGCCGCGTCAGCATCCATGGCAACCAGCTCCAGAGCCGACCCCAGAGGCGAAGATGCACTTCAGCGAGAGGACCCGTGGACAGGGTCTCAGTTACCTCCTGGACCAGCTCAAGGGGCTTCCCTCACACGTGCTGCAGAAGAGGCGGCTACAATACCCGGCACGCCTGGCGGAACAGCAGCAGGAGTGGCACCAGCGACTCCAGTCGCGGGCGAAGCTCTCGGTAGCATGCCTACCCCAGTCGGACGTGGATTCATGCACGACGACAACTCGCTGGAGCAGCGCCTCAGCCAGCTCTTCACATCCCAGATCGAGTCGGCCACCGCCAGGCTCCAGAACGAGTCCGAGGCCATCGTTCGCAACGCTCAGCAAGCTCTTCAAGGCGAACTTCAGCTCGTTCTCGGACATGTGCGACAGCATGGAGGCAGGCTGGACGCCATGGACACCTCAGTCCGAGAGCTCAACCAGCGCACACATACAGTGGAGCAGGAACAGCAACAGATGCGGCAAGAAGTGGAACGGATTCAATCGCAATTGGCAATGGCAGAAGCTACTTTACCTACCTTCGACATGGCGGCTTTGGCAGTTTGGGATCGACCACCAGACCCTCATCTCTACACAATTGGCGCACCATCGGCTATACAACCTGCAGAAGTCAAGCGAGCTCTTGAACCCTGGATCAATGCAGCAGGCGTCTCCACCAACGACGTGGAGCTCATCGGCGACGTACCCGCACGGCGTTTCTTCCTCAGAGTCCTTGGTGGACCAGCAGCCACTTCACGCAGTCTTTCACTCGCACGGAATCTCAGAGCAGGAGGTCAGTGGCGTAACTTCTCGGCTCCAAACACTACTGGTGCGCTCACTCCCCTTTACATCAACGCGGACAAGTCTCCTAAAACCCTTCGGCGAGAACTACAAACAAAGCGATTGGTCAAGCTCCTGGCAGACAAGTACGGCAACCATCACTTCAGAAAGGTCGGAGACGAAGGCATCGTCTCTTGCAGCTCAATTCCCCTTGTGGTTCTCGAGGTTGGAGACAGCGCCAACGCCCCCGCAGAGCTCAGGTGGAACATCGCAGTCGCCCACCAGATGGGTATCGACAAGATCACAATCACAGATCAGTTTCAGCAGCTCTTCCTGGCCACAGATACGTCGCGGTGGTCTATTTAACACTCGCTGGAGCTCGTGGCTACAACAAGCTAGGGACAGTGGTGGCCATGTAGTATCGTGGAATGCTCGTGGCCTGTGCTGCTACAAGAAGCGGCGCCGCAAGAACAAGCTGCGCAAGCTGGATCGGTTCATGAAGACATCCGCTCTCATCATGATCCAGGAGACGCATGGTGTTCGTCAGCAGCTTGAAGTCATGGTCGCCTCCTCCCCATACAAGTACAAGGTATTCCATTCTCAGGCGGAAGAATCATCACAGAGTTCATCAGAATCACCCGATGCTGAACGCGCTGGCAATACACGGCGTGGTGGAGTGGCATTCCTAGTGCCGTGGCCTGCTGGTGCTGCAGATACCAGACCGTCTCTCGAATTTCATGTGCTAGTCCCAGGCAGGGTCGCGCAGCTGTCTATCAAGCACCACGAGCTACGCTACCAGATGCGCGTCATGAATGTTCACAACTACAACATTTCCCCGAACGACAAGACTGTTATCACTAGCAGATGGATGGAAAATATTCAATGGGCAAGCAGCAATCACCTTGAGCGCACGTTCATCGCGATAGGTGACTTCAACATCCGTGAGGGCGTCCCTTTGTCATATGATCACCCTCTACCTGATCAGGCCCAGCTACGGACGCTTCGTACATACCAACCCGCAGAAGCTTTCTGGCGTACCCTCTTTGACACTATGCAGGAGATCCGCTCGGAGGTGCCAACGTATTTCAGCAGGCAGCACTACACCGCATCGGCCATCGATAGACTTTTTGTCAGTACACCAGAGCACTACCTGATCGCCACGGACATCCATCTCTCTGTTGCCATGGACCCAGTGGAGATGGCCCAGTCGCGCTTGAGCGACCACTCCATCATCCACGCCACCTTCAGAGCCAAGCAGAACATTCCAGAGGAGGCGCAGCGCATCCCAGATGTGGTCTTCACGGACGAGCGATACATTATCATACTCGACAGCCTCATCAACGCGAGTAGCCTGGAAAGGTTCTCGCCTGTGCTGAAATGGACGTACATGAAACAGCTCATGCTTGAGGCCGCTCGTCAAACCCGAGATGAGCTCCAGCGGCTACCATATCGACCTGGCGACAAACGTGCACGAGGTGGCCGCAACATTACTCTCCGCAGTATTTCTAGAGCCGTGTGGAAGCAGGACCTACGGCAAGCAGCCCTTCTGGTATCAACCACCGAGGATGGCAAGCGCTTTCTTCACATCGATGAGGATGGGGTCAGGCTCCAGAACGCGGACACCTTTCGCATCCTCTTCCGCTCACTGCACGATGCGGAACTAGAGGCCATGCAGTTACGTGCTGCCCGAGCCGCACAAGCTGCGCAGCGAGCTGGAGACCAACCTGCAGCTGAAGCGCATCTTCGCCAAGTTCGTGCTGGTCGCCGTAGGGCCTTCCTCTGGAAGCCGAAGGGCCGCAGGATGGTGCTGGCAGGTATCCGTCCTGAACACTCTCTAGAGAATCCCGAGGCCCCAGTCGTTCGAGGCCCCACATAAGTTAATGAAGCTCTTGCCGCCTACTGGGGGAAGGTTTTCCGCTACAAATCGGCCGACAAAAACAAAATCGAGGCTCACCTGGACAGAGTCTACCCGACGGCCCCCGAGGTCCCGATCCCGATCCCGAGTGTTGATGACCTCCGGGCTACCCTCAAACGTGTTCGTCACTCTTCGCCAGGTCCCGATAGGTTACCATATCGTGCGTGGATGGTAGCCGAAGAACAACTGTACACCCTCCACGGCCTGATGCTGCACCTCTTCGCAGGTGACTACGTCCCCGAGGATCTGAACGATTCCCTGTTCGCTTTCCTTCCCAAAGGTTCTGAGCCCCTAGATGCTTATGAGTGTATCAGAAAGCCCTCTCAAATTAGACCGCTGTCGCTACGTAATTCGGACTCCAAGATTTTGGCCTCAGCGGCCAACCATAGAATCAAGGCCCTGGTCCAATCTCGGACCCATGTCGTCCAGCAAGGTTTTGTTCCTGGCCGCAATTTTGTCGGGAATATCATTCGTTTAGATAGCGCAGCGCGTAGAATGAGTGTACAGCCGAATGCGGACGCACACGCCCCAGTGTTTGTCGCATTCGACATAGCTGCAGCCTTCCCAAGTCTCGGACACGAGTGGCTCTGGGCGGTTTTAGCTCGGTCAGGCCTTCCGCAAGGCTACCAGAAATTCATCGGCTCCCTGTATTTCGGGCCCCGCGGATTCGCCTCTGTCCAGGGATCCAAACAGTTTCTCTTTTACCTGCAGTCTGGAGTCATGCAAGGGTGCCCCCTTTCAGGCTCGGTCTGGGCACTAGCAATGGACCCCATCCTGAGATGTCTGGTTGAGCAAGCCGCTGATCCTTCTCTTGGGGACTGGCGCGGGGAGGTGGGTGGGTGTGCGGACGACGCAGGCCTTGCTCAACCCAGACTCCAGGACCTATGCCGCGTCGCTCCAGTCTTTCAGGATGCAGAAGAGCTTGCTGAGCTCCGCCTCCAGACCTCCAAAACTGTCATCGTCCCTCTTTGGACAGAGCTCTCAGATGCAGTCGTAGCACGAATTCGGGGATTCCTGCGCGAGCATATTCCCCAGTGGGCCAGCATGAAGATCGCTTCCTACACCAAATACCTGGGGGTCCAGTTTGGGCCTGGGGCGTCGGAGGCGCTTGTCTGGAAGGAAGCGGTCGCCAAGTGGTGGTCTCGTTCGTTTGACATTCCCAAATCCGAGGGCCCCACCAGCGTCAGTCTGCTGCTATACAACAGTACAGCGTTATCTACTTTAAGCTACCTTGCCCAGCTTTTCCCGATGGATCGCGAAGCCCTCCTGAAGGAAAAATTTGCCATCCACAAAGTCCTTCGGCTTCCGCCCGGCACGTTTCGCAAAGCTGATGTTTTCTCTTTCGCGGGACACGGTTTAGTGGCCCCGCAGTCCGCCCTGATCCTAGGTGCGGCTAGTATGTGGCGCTGCTCCACTCTCGCGATTACCGATTGGGCAGCAGAGCTCGACAGGTGGCGCGAAACGGCTGCATTGACCTGCTCCGTCGTCGACTGGATCAAAGGAGAGTGGAGCGCCCCCTGCTGGATCCGAAAGCAGGGGATCGCCCAACGTTATGCAGATTTAGTGAACCGCCCACCACGCCGAGGCATCCAAATTGTCCAGTGGAGAGCCTCGCATGCGGCAGGCCGCATGGAAACTCGTGCGGCGCAAGCGGTGGGCAAGAAGCCCAAGCTCCAGCGTGCGGTCTCCTCCTTCCTCCGCCTCAATCTCTACCCCAACAAATTCGAAGTGACGATCTCCAAGCGCCTGAGCGCTTGGGGTCTTGCTGGTAACATCGTGGGCGGGGTGGCGGAGCGGTGGGGGGATTGTCTTGCAACGATTAAGAAGTTCAAACCTGCATGGCAGTGGTCGATCCTTAAGACCCTCGCAGGCGGCTGGACAACCAGCCATCGAATCCACGTGCGTGGGATCGTTAATTGCCTTTTTGGGTGCGCCCAGACTGACTCCATTGCTCATTACTTTTCTTGCCCCGTCCTCCGTTCCCTCGTTGGCCTCCCCCCCAACCCACTGACTTTCCTCGGCCTAGCGGCTGATAACGAATACAACTGTGAGAGCTGCACGTTCTCGCGCGCTGATGCGCTGCGTCTGGCCGTGTTAGCATTCCATACATACCACAAGGCGAAAGCTGCGGTGACCCATGGGGACCAGCTCACGCCAAGCCAACAGCGAGCCGCTTTCGCAGCAGCACAGCACGCCACTGACATCTAATGCGGCTGACGATGCGTGCGAACTGGCTCGCCTCAGGTACGGTCGATCATCATCATCAGAATCATCATAATCATCACCATCATCATCATCATCATCACCATCACCACCACCACCACCACCACCACCACCACCACCACCACCACCACCACCACCACCAACACCACCACCATCATCATCATCATCATCATCGTCGTCGTCGTCGTCGTCGCCATCATCATCAGCATCATCATCATCATCATCATCGTCCTCCTCCTCCTCATCATCATCATCATCATCATTTCTCCTCCCCCTCCTCCTTTCTCCTCCCTTGTCCTCCTCCTTCTCCTCCTCCCTTTTGTCCTCCTCCTCCTTCTCCTCCTCCTCCTCCTCCTCCTCCCCTTTCTCCTCCTCCTCCTCCCTCCTCCTCCTCCTCCTCCTCCTCCTCCTCCCTTTTCTCCTCCTCCCTCCCTCCCTCCCTCCCCCTCCCTCCCCCCCTCCCTCCCTCCTCCCTCCCCCTCCTTCCTCCTCCATGCTCGCTCCTCCCTCCTCCCTCCTCCCTCCCTCCTTCCTCCTCCTCCTCCTCCCTCCCTCCTCCCTCCTCCCTCCTCCCTCCTCCTCCTCCCTCCTCCTCCTCCTCCTCCTCCTTTCTCCGCCTCCGCCTCCTCCTCCTCCTTCTCCCTCCTCCTCCCTCCCTCCCCCCTCCCTCGTCCCTCCTTCCTCCTCCCTCCTCCCTCCTTCCTCCTCCCCTCCTCCTCCTCCTCCGCCCTCCTCCTCCTCTTCTCGTCCTCCTCCCTCCTCCTCCTCCTCCTCCGCCTCCTCCGCCTTCCTCCTCCTCCTCTTCCTCCTCCTCCTCCTCCTTCTCCTCCTCCTCCTCCTTCTCCTCCCTCTCGTCCTCCTCCTCCTCCTCTTCCTCCTTCTCCATCTCCTCCGTCCCCCCCCCTCCCCCTCCTCCTCCCTCCTCCCCTCCTCCTCCTCCTCCTCCTCCTCTTCTCCTCCCCCCTCTTCCTCTCCTCCTTCCTCCTCCTCCTCCTCCTCCTCCTCCTCGTCCTCCTCGTCCTCCTCGTCCTTCTCCTCCTCCTCCTCCTCCTCCTCCTCCTCCTCCTTCATGCCCTTTTCCTTATAGATAACATCTCCCTGTCGCACCCCGAGGCCAGTTTTTAGGGCGGTCCGGGCGGTTCGCCTGCGACTTCCTCATCATTCATGACCCTGGAGCTCTGCCATTGACAACAGTTTCACACATGCAGGACGGGTGGTTTCCAACATGTGGCTCTCTCCTTAGCGCCGCGCGCATTTGTTTCAACAGACTGCAAGAGCTTCACCGATTGAGGGCGGGCCGTTTTCAAACTGTGCTTCTCGCCTAAGCGCCGCGCACATTCGTTCTACGACTTTGCAAGAGTTTCACGGATTGAGGGCGGGCCGTTTTCAACATGTAGTTCTCGCCTTAACGCCGCGCACATTCGTTTCAAAAGCTTGCAAGAGTTCCACGGATTCAGGGCGGTTCTTTTTCAACATGTTGCTCTCGCCTTAGCGCCGCGCACATGTTTTGTAATGTACAAGGGTTTCACGGCTTCCCATGGTCAGCGTACCAGGTATTGTGTTTTGGGAAGATTCAGGATTAGGAGGGCGCAACAGTTACGTTGATTTGTGGCGTTCTTGCGCGATTCAGGAGCGTCAAGGCGCAATAGTCAGAGTGATCCGTGGCGTTGCAATCCAGAGAATGATGCTTTCGCATGCGTCATGGTCTTCAAACGGTTGTCTTCAAATGAATCAGTTCCCTCAGTGGAACTGAACCCTCGTGGGGGCCTATGGAGAGGGAGCTTGGGGGAGGGTTTATTCCAACATCGTTGATGACTCTTGGGTTTACACTGGTCCTCTTCTTCTTCTTCTTCCTCCTCCTCCTCCATCTCCTCCTCCTTCCTCCTCCCTTGTTCTCCTCCTCCTCCTCCTCCTCCTCCCTCCTCCTTCCTCCGCCTCCTCCTTCTCCTCCTCCCTCCTCCCCCCTCCCTCCTCCCTCCGCCCTCCGCCCTCCTCCTCCTCCTCCTCCTCCTCTTCCTCCTCCTCCCTTCCTTCCTCCTTCCTCCTTCCTCCTTCCTCCTTCCTCCTTCCTCCCTCTTCCCTCCGCCCTCCGCCCTCCGCCCTCCGCCCTCCTCCCTCATCCCTCCTTCCTCCTCCCTCCTCCCTCCTCTCTCTCTCTCTCTCTCCTCCTCCTCCTCTTCCTCCTCCTCCTCCTTCCCTCCGCCTCCTCCTCCTCCTCCTCCTCCTTCTCCTCTTCCTCATTCCTCCCTCCTCCTTCTCCATCTCCCTCCTCCTCCTCCTCCTCCTCCTCCTCCTCCCTCCTCCCTCCTCCCTCCTCCCTCCTCCCTCCTCCCTCCCTCCTCCCTCCTCCCTCCTCCCTCCGCCCTCTTCCTCCCTCCTCCCTCCTCCCTCCTCCCTCCTCCCTCCTTCCTCCTCTCCCCCTCTCCCTCCCCTCCTCCTCCTCCTCCTCCTCCTCCTCCTCCTCCTCCTCCTCCTCCTCCTCCTTCTACTCCTCCTCCTCTCCCCCCCCTCCTGTTTTTCTTTCTCCTCCCTCCTCTTCCTCCTCCTCCTCCTCCCCCCCTCCTCACTCCTCCCTCCCCCCCTCCTCCCTCCTCCCTTCTCCCTCCTCCCCCTCCTCCTCCTCCTCCTCCTCCTCCTCCTCCTCCTCCTCCTCCCTCTTCCTATTCCCTTCTCCTTGTCTTTCTCCTCCTCCTTCTCCACCTTCTCCTCCCTTCTCCTCCCTTCCTTTTCCTTACAACTAACCTCTTCCTGTCGCACCCCGAGGCCAGTGTTTAGAGCGGGCTTAGCGTTTCGCCTGGTACGTCCTCTCCGTTAATGATTCTGGAGCTCAAACGTTGGCAACAGTTTCACATACGGAGGGCGGGTGGGTTTCAAAAGGTGGCTCTCACCTTAGCGCCGCGCACATTCGTTTTCAAACATTTGCAAGCGTTTCACGGATTGTGGGTGACCCGCTTTCAACATGTGGCTCTCGCCTTAGCGCCGCGCGCATTCGTTTTTAAACATTTGCAAGAGCTTCACCGATTGAGGATAACCCGTTTTCGAAATGTGGCTCTCGTGTTAGTACCTTGCACATTCGTTCGTAATATTTGCAAGCGTTTCGCGGATGGATGGCTGTTCCTTTTCAAAATTTGGCTCTCACCTTTGCGCCGCGCACATTATTTCATAAACTTTACAAGCGTTTCACGGATTTCCGCGATCAGCGTAACATAATGGTGTTGTGGAATGTTTCATGATTTTGCGGGTGCAACCGTTATTGTGTCATTTTTCTTCTAGTATTAAGTCGGGCATGCCCCTCAACAGGGGGAGTATTCAAAACTGGTAACAAAAAGTCAGGGGACGATTTTTGTACTATTGTTGCCTATTTCTGAATCGTGTCGGCACCTTTAATTGTTCTTCCAACATCTGCCTGTAGGAGGACATGCCCGACTTGACTCTAGTGGGAGTGACTGCGTTACTAAGGCGATTTTTCCTCTGGCAGGAATTTCTTCCTTTCCTGTTCACTGGGTTACGGAGGAGTGGGAGAGTAGCGCTGGCGGGCAAACGGATGCAGCATTATCAACGCCGCGCCATTCATGGCAAGTCCGATGCAGGCCAGTCCCGTGCGGGGTATTTTGGTGAAGGTTGGCCTGTTCAGTGCGCTTCAGATGTTAGAAGTTAGTTGGCAGCTTGTTTCGTCGCATCCCTCTGCGGTGGTTGCAAGCGCGGAGACGGAAGAGCAGAGGAATGAAATGAGGAGGACAAGGAGGAGGAGGAGGAGGAGGAGGAGGAGGAGTCAGAGGAGGAGGTGGAGAAGGAAGAGGAGGAGGAGAAGAGGAGGAAGAGGAGGAGTAGTCAGAAAAGGAGGGTGAGGAGGTGGAGGAGGTGGAGGATGAGGAGGAGGAGGAGGACCAGCGAAAGTAGGAAGAGAAGGAGGAGGAGGGGGGTGAAAGGACCGCCCATGCCGGCCGACAGGCCGCAGTTGCCGTCGCCGCGGCGGCCGCGGCTGCGGTGCCGTCGCCAGTGCTGGCCCTCGCCTCCGAGGCTGCACGTTGCGCCGCGCGCGACACTCGAAAAAAAAGAAACAGCATATGTGTATATTTTCGGAGCTACACCCTAGGCGATGATGAAGAAAACTTACGTTTTCGGCCAGAGTCTCGATTCTTCTTAATATTTCAATGTGAATCCTAAGATTTCAATCGAAATCTGGGTTTTCATTCAAATTCTGAGACTATGAATTTCTTAACCCATGATTTCTTAAGCATTTCGCAGGGTGTACGCGCGGAACTCTTGGATCGGCGCTGGGGCCCCCCTGGCGGCGCCTCCAGAGCCGCCCCTGGCACGCTCCGCGCGCCGGGGAGGGCGGCCCGGCGCCGATCCGAGAGCCCCGCGCGGAGCTCCGAGTGTTTATGCTCATGCCGTTCTTTCTTCCTCTGCAGTCGGGGCGCTGAAGAGGGAACCCTTTTCGTTGGGGAGGGGCTCGGTGTTCCCTGACTGTTTTGCAGCTTGCCTCGGGCTGTCCTGCGGTTTCCCATCGGGAATCGAGGTTGAGCTTCTGGGAACAAGGGGCCTCGTTCCTCATCTAGGGCTCCTTCGGTCAACGCCTCGACTGTATCGTTGTCGTCCTCGTCCTCCTCACCTTGTTCCCCTTCTCATATTCCGCTCCTTAGGTCAACGCCTCGACTGTATCGTTGTCGTCCTCGTCCTCCTCACCTTGTTCCCCTTCTCAACCTGTCCGCGTGGGGTCCCACGCTCGTGCGGGGTCCCTCGCAGCGCCGAGGGCGAGAGGCCAGGCAGCCAGCGCATGTGCCAGTGTTGGTTCCGGGGGCAGGCCGCGAGCGAGGGGCCGATTTCTGCGCTCGGGTGCGGGCGCGTCGCCCTCGCTTCGCTGCCTCCCCGCGCCCGCCTCCCTCGTCGGCCTCTCCGAGGCCCGCGTCTGCCACTCCGCCCCGCCCCGCCTCCCTCTTCCCCCCCTCCTCTTGTGCAGTGCTGCGCTCGCCGTCGGGTGCCCATGGGCTGCTCGGCCGGCCTGCGCGCTCGCCGGGTCCGCGACGCGAAGAGACGGTCACCCCGCCCCGTGCCCCGCGCAGCCCTCGTGCCAGCGTGCGTCGCACGATGAGGTCGATGGCCTTCCTGGACCCTGTCCTCGAGGGCAGCACGAGCCACAGGCCCGTGCTGCAAGCGGGAAGGGTCCGAGGTCTGGTTGTCGGTTGGGTTCCGCGTGCCTGTCTACACTGCCAACGAGGCCCGTTCAATTTCTCATACCCCCGCTCCCTCGACCCTCACAGCGCGGACTGCAGGTGCGTGTCATATTCGGTGGGTGAGCTGAAGGCCGATGGGTGGGCGGGGCAGGAGGGCCATCGTCCACGCATCGCAGGCCAGTAAGCCTGTCAGCCATCGATGGAACCCTTTACATCAGTCAGGGCCCAGACTCTATGGCGCCATGGCTGGAACGTCCGTCCTGGAAGCAAGCTCGTTTAGGAGACCCATTTTGACGGCGATGATGGTGATGACGGTGATGACGATGACGATGAGGACGACGCTGGCGACAATGATGACGTTTATGCTACTGATGACGATCATGATGATGGCGATGCTGCTCATGGTGATGATGCTGATGATGATGGTGGTGGTGATGATGGTGCTGATGCTGATGCTGATGATGATCATGCTGCTGATGACGATGATGCTGATGCTGATGATACCGATGATGGTGACGATGATGATGTTAATGATGTTGCTGCCGCTGATGATGCTGATGATGTTGATGCTGACGATGATGTTGATGATTCTAGTGATGCTGATGCTGCTGATGATGATGATCATGCTGCTGCTGCTGGTGATGAGGCTGCTGCTGGTGATGCTGATTATGATATTGCTAATGCTGATGATGATGCTGATGATGCTGACGATGCTGATGATGATGCTGATGATGATTCTGCTGGTGATGATGATGATGCTGATGATGATGATGATGATGATGATGATGATGCTGATGCTGCTGCTGCTGCTGATGATGATGATGATGATGATGATTATGATGATGATGATGATGATGATGATGATGATGATGATGATGATGATCCATATCTATGTCTGCTGCTGCTGGTGATTACGATGTTGATGCTGACGATGCTGATGACGGTGATGGTGACTCCAAAGGCTTTCGCCGCATCCGCCCCCTTGCAAGTGCGTCGCTTGGATTCCCTTGATGTCAAGCCGTCCTCTTGGGTCGTCTGGGGGGTATCCTAGTGGCCTTGTGGCGTTAATGGGGGGTCTCGGGGGTGAGGCCAGAGGGGTGGGAATCAGCTCAAGGGCGTGAAGACTAAAGGGGTCGGCGGATTATAGGTTTGCGGTGCTGGAGCTGTGTGGGCCTCTCTCCGGGTTGCGGCGGCAGCATTGGCACTACGCGCCGGCTTCGCACGCCCTGTCCTCGCCCTCTCCCCCCAGACCTCCAACGACTTGAACTAATCAAGACGGTGGTTCTCCGTGGGTATCGGAGTCCAGATGCCCTCCGCGGGGGTCCAGCGCGGACCTCAGAGTTTTTATGTTTATGCCATGTTTTGTCCCCCGGGAGAGTTCCCAGAGCCTCAGAAGAGCCCCCGAGAACCCCCCAGACGGACTCCAGGAGGCTCCAAGAGAATGGGCCAGACGAGAGGCGAGACGCCCCTAATCAGCAGGCGCAAGAAGTAAGGTCTGGGCGCTCTCGGGCCCTGCATTCCTGTCTACTGGGCGGCGTTGTAGTGGGACTGACGACTGCACTCGATGATCGAGGCGGGCAAGGATCGATGAGAGGAAGAAGGGAAGGAGGAGGAGGAGGAGGAGGAGGAGGAGGAGGAGGAGGAGGAGGAGGAGGAGGAGGAAGAGGAGCGGAGGAGGAGGAGGAGGAGGAGGAGGAGGAGGAGGAGGAGGAGGAGGAGGAGGAGGAGGAGGAGGAGGAGGAGGAGGGAGCGAGGCTGTCATGAGCGTCCTTGGGGGCCGTCCCAGGGTAGTCTGGATCCGTTTTCGAGGCGCTCTTGGGGGTCGCTCGGGCTGTCTTGGGGCGTCCTGGAGCCGTGCTGAACGCAAAGCGCGAGAAGGAGCAAAAACAAAGCAGCGAAGGGGGCGCGCAGTTGGGGGCGCAGTTGAAAGCGGGCGAGGGCGACGTGGTGAAGGAAGGCGGACGCGATTCGTGGGTCCTGTTCCCCGATGCGCTCGAGATGGAATATTTGATGCACCATGTATCGCGCGAGCTGCAACGATGTAAGAGCGAAACAGAAGTCACGCAGTGGCAGCGCTACATGGAACGAGGGTGTAGTCGCAGTCCCTTGTTCGAGCGACATGTCGCTTGTCCAAGAATTCGCGGAGCTGTCGGAAGCGCAGATGAATACACACCACCGGGGAGAGGCTCTGTCGGAAATGTGCGTTGGAGCGGCAGAGGTCAACGCTCAGGTCGAGCAACTCGCAAGATGAGAGCAGAGGCGGACGGACGCGGAGCCCCTGAAGTGCTGCGCGCCAGGATGCGAAGGTACCTTTTTGGGAAACCGGTCGTTTGAACAACAGTCAAGTGGTCATCGTTTTCTTACTCATTGTTTTGCCGATCGGCGCGGGCGCTCGCACCCTTCCCTCCCCACCCATGGAGTAGATCTTGGCTGTTTTTGGCGCCTGTTTCAAGCAGGTGGAGTAAGCACGGGGGCCCCGCCTTCCCATAGGATTCCCCATGGGAGCACTGTTCCGAACAGTCGCAGTAAGCAGAGGTTCGGAGCCAGACCCTCCCCCTCCCCCTCCTTCCGCCCAAAGTCGAAACGCCGAATAAGAAAGCATTCGCGTGTAGGATCATCGGACGAACACAGGAGCCCGAGTGGTCTTCAGGGCCTGTGACAAGCGGGGGCTCACCGCGAAAGGCGTGGCCGATGCGGCGAAACGGGTGGGGCGGTAATTGAGGCGCCCGGCGTGCAACAAGGGATTCCCGCGGCAGAGTCACATGAGCAGTGTGCAGGAGACTAGCACTTCACGAAGGGAAGGACTAGTGTATGCGCAGACTGCGTGGGCGCTGGGTTTATGTCGCGCGCCGTTCATGTGTACGAGTGCTCGGGTAATTACCTGCCGGAGGACACTCCCGAAATCGAAGTTCGTAGTGGGGTAGTTTTTTGCGTGTTTCGTCATATGGCGTCCTGAAGTGCAAATCGTCTGCTCTGCAAGATGCTGTTGAAGTGAACCTTCAGAAGATCCAACTGGAAATTGTGTCGTGCTGAGGACTCGAGGGCTGAATACGAGAAACGAGAGAGGCTGATCATAATATTCAGGAGGGCGAGGGAGTTTTCTCTCTTTCTCTCTCTCATTCCTTTCTCGGGTGTAGGCTCAGCTTGCTCGACCTATACCTCTTGCGTGAAACCGTGAAACCGTGAGGTGGAGGAGGAGCTGGAGTGGGGAAGATGGAGTGAGCAATGGTGCGGCTTTGTCAACGCTTCTGCGGAAGAGCAATAAATCCCATGGGGCCTCCTCCGGCATTCTTTTGGCCTTGTGAGGGCGTCCTCAAAGGTCCCCTGCGAGCCAGTTGAGGCCTCCAGGCGGTCTTGCAGAGGCTCCTGGGGGAGTTTTGGAGGCCTCGTGTGTGTGTGTGTGTGTATGTAGCTGTAAGGGGCTGTCGTGCGGCGAAGAAATCGAAATGTCGGTTCTAGTTCTCCTTTGGGGTCCCTCTTGGGGCCTTCGTTGTGCTCTGTGGGGCTGTCTTGGGGCCCTCTTGCGCCATCTTGGGTCCCTTTTGGAAGTCTCTTGGGGCTTCGTGGGGCGTTTTGCGATCCTCGTGAGCCGTCTTGAAGATCTGGGAATTACGTGTTGGAACCGTTTTGGGCGCGTGCAAGGCCAGGAAGGCTGCACTGTCTAAACGCATCGGACAACCCATCAACCCATCGGGTTTTACAGGTTTTGGCTTTTAGGGGCCCTCGGTGGCGTTCACTCGAGGCTCCCTTGGCCGTTTTGGAGGCTTTTGGGCCATCGTGGAAGCAGGTGACCCCGTAGGTGGACCTTTTGGTGTGATCCTGACCGTCCAAAGACCTCAGGGGCAGTCTTGATGATGACGGATTTGGTGATGATGGTGATGATGATGGCGATGATGACGATGAGGATGAGTATGATGATGCTGATGCTGATGATGAGGATGATGTTGATGACGATGACGATGGTGATGCTGATGACAATGATGATGATGCTGCTGATGATGATGCTGCTGATGATGCGGACGGTGGGGGTGATGGTGAGGGTGATGATGATGGTGATGATCATGACAATCGTCATGATGAAGATGGTGATCATGCTTCAATTGTTGTTGTTGATGCTGATGGTGATGTTGATGCTGATTCTGATTAGGATGATGATGATGATGCTGCTGCTGATGATTGTGATGATGATGCTGATGATGATGCTGATGCTGCTGATGACTATGAGATGATGATGATGCTGCTGTCAATGCTGCTTATGATGGTTGTGGTGATGATGATGGTGGTTATGATGACGACGATGATGATGATGATGATGATGATGATGATGATGACGACGCTACGGGTGATGATGATGATGGTGATGCTGATGATGCTGCTGATGATGATGTTGTTGACGATTTTGATGATGGTGACTGTGATGGCGATATTGATGATAAGGATGCTGATGATTCTACTGCTGCTGCTGATGATGATGACGATGCTATAGATGATGATGATGATGATGATGATGATGATGATGATGATGATGCTGATGATGATGCTGATGATGATGATGATGATGATGATGATGATGATGCGGCCGATGCCGATAATGATGATGACGATGATACTGATGCTGCCCATGATGATAATGATGAAGATGATGATGCTGATGCTGATGCTGATTTTGATGATGATGATGCTGATGACGACACTGATGCTGATGCTGCTGATGATGATGAGGCTGATGATAACGATGACGATGGTGATGATGATGATGACGATGGTGATGATGATGCTGATAATGCTGGTGCTGCTGCTGATGATGATTGTGATGATGATGATGATGTTGGTGATGATGATGGCAGGTGTCATGATGCTGATGCTGATCATGCTTCAATTTTTGTTGTTGAGCATGATGATGCCAATGATTGTAAAGGTGATGGTGCTGATGGTTATGATTATGATGGTGATGCTGCTGGTGACTATGATTCTGATGACGATGATGCTGTCGATGCTGCTGATGAAGGCGGTGGTGGCTATGATGACGATGCTGGTTACGATGCTGGTGCTGATGATGCTGATTGCGATGACGATGACGACGATGCTGCTGGTGTTGGTGCTAATGATAATGACGATGATGGTGATGGTGATGCTGATGATGCTGATGATGCGGTTATTCACGATTTTGATGATGGTGATGGTGGTGGTGATGGTGATGATGAGGCTGCTGATGATGCTGCTGCAGACGATGATTCTGACGATGCTGTTGATGATGATGGTGAGGCCGATGGCGATGATGATGATGATGCCGATGATTCTGATGATGATGATGCTAAGGATGATGATTATGATGATGATGACGATGCTGATGCTGCTGATGGTGATGTTGATGCTGACGATGATGATGATGCTGATGATGACGATGCTGATGCTGATGATGATGCTGATGATGACGACGATGATGATGACGAGGATGATGCGGCGGACGATGATAATGCTGATGCTGATGTTGATGATGATGATGATGCTGACGATTACGATGATGATGATGATGATGATGCTGGTGCTGATGCTGCGGATGATGATGATGATGCTGATGACGATGCTGCCGACGCTGATGCCGATGACGATGATGATGACCGTAGTGTTGCTGATGCTGATGGCGATGATGATGATGTTGCTGATGATGATGATGATGCTGATGACGATGATGATGACGACGCTGATGATGCTGATGATAATGATGACGATGGAAATGATGATGATGAAGGTGCTGCTTCTGATGATTATGATGATGATGATGATGATGATGATGATGATGATGATGATGATGTTGATGATGAGGTTGCTAATGATGATGATGATGCTGATGATGCTGATGATGATGCTGATGATGCTGATGATGGTGATTATGATGATGATGAGGATGATGATGAGGAGGATGATGATGATGATGATGATGATGATGATGATGATGATGATGATGATGATGATGGTTGCGATGATGACGTTGATGGTTGATGATGACGCTGGCTGTTCTTTTAAGCCCTCACCAGTTGCCCCCTTCCCGGGCGCTCCCGAGGACGACGACGGCTTCGACGTGAGGATCATCGCGGTGTTGGCCCTCCCGCTCCTCGCGGTGGGGAGGGCCGCGGTCCAGGGGCTGTGCGCATCTTCGGACACGCCTGCGTCCTCTTCTTGGCCACAGGGCATTCCCCTCGCCGCCGCGGCTGGGCTCGTCCCGATGAGGCGGGCTCGGGCACAGGCCGGAGGTCGATAGACCTCCTGCCCTGACACGTCGATGAGCGAGTTGGCCGCTTTCGGTTCGCGAGAGGGCGTCGCGGCCGTCATGTCTGCGGGTCCAGGTCCGCCGGTTTCGGTCCTGGGCCGTTTTCACTAGAAAGGGTGGCTTACGAACATGGGGCGGGCGCGGCAAGGCCCCGGCGCTGCCGCGCAGCAGGCCACGCGCCTGAGCTGAGCTGGCTGGGCGCCGCGGCGGTGGCGCCTCCCCGGGGGCGGCAGGGCGGCGGGCGGGCCCCGCACCGGCGCCCGCCAGGGGCGCTGCGGCCCGCGGGCTCGTTCGGCCACGCCGCTCCGTGCCCTCGCCCTCCGCGCCGGCGGGCGCCCCACGGGCCGACGGGCCCAGGACGGCTGAGAGCGTCGACGGAAGGACCGCCCTTTTGGTTCGGAGAGGGGCTCGCGGTTCCTGAGGTCACTCCGGGGCTGTTCCTCTGAGCCCTCCCCCGTGCACCCAGGGTCTTCTGGTGCCCCTAGGAGGGGCCTGGTTCCTCACATGGCGTTCCTTGTTGCAGCAGCTTGGCTGTATCTAATGGCCTTCGGCCCATCCCGCAACCGTGCCTGGGTTGCGGGTATGGAGCCTATTGGATGTTCGTTGGGATCTCGTGGGGGGCTTCTCAGGGGCCTCTTGGAGGCACTTCGGACGCCTCTTGGAGGCCGTTTGAGGTCCTCTCGGGGTCTCTTTTGGGCTTCTTGTGTGCCTCTGGGGGCCTCTCGGGGGCCTCTCGGGGGCCTCTTTGTGCCTCCTGGGCGCCTCTTGGGGTCTCCTGGGGGCCCCTTGGGGCGGAAGGCTTGGATTTTTGGTTCGTGATCCCTCTTTTTGACTCCGTTTGGAGTCGTCTTGGGGTCCTCGTAGGCTGTCTTGGGCCCTCTTGGGGCTGTTTTGGGGCCCTTTTGGAGGCTTCTTGGTCCCGTCTTGGGGCGGTCTTGGGAGCCTCTAGGGCCGTCTGGGAGCGTCGGGAAGCCGAAACTGCGAGAACGCCCAAATCCTGAAAACACCAACGACACATCAATGATTTTGGCCTCTTGGGGCCCTCTTGGGGGGCCTCTTTGAGGCTTCTTTGGGTGTCTTGGAGGCCTCTTGGGCCATCTGGGGGCCATCTGGGGGTGTTGAGGCGATCCTTCGGCGACCAGATACCGTCTGGGGCCGTCTTGGAGGCCTCTCGGGGGCCCTCTTCGCCCCTCTTGGGGCCCTCTTGGGCCCGAAACGGTCACGTGACAAGACGCGACAAGCCCCACAGGACACGCGCCAAGCTCCGAAGAAACTGGGAATTTGGGGTCCAGGTCCTTAAAAGACTCCTCAGGAGTGCGGACTGAGGCTTAAAGGATTAGGCAAAGAACCTGAGGACACGCCCACTCCATGCCCAGCAGCACGGTGGCGGACCTTTTGCGCACCGTAGGCACGGCCAACGGGCTGCCTTGGGTTCTCCTGGCTCGCTCTCGGGAGCGTGGTTTTGGGCGCTGTGCTGGAGAGCGTGGAATCCCTTGGGGGAGCACTTGGGAGAGGGAAATAACGGAGGAGGAGAGGGATGAGAAGGATGACGACAAAAGGAGGAGGATGAGGCGGAGGATGAGGAGGAGGAGGAAGAGGAATAATACTTATAACAAACGGTACTAAACATAGTGATAACCAGGCTAATCAGACTAGTACACATAGTAGTAGTAGTATTAACATTGCTATCAATACATAACTATAGAGTTGATTTTCATGATTCTTAGGATAATGACGTGGGCATGCACATACCATGAATAATGATGATACTGATTATCATCGCAATACTATGAAGGATACGAGAAACATAAACACGTTAATACAACTCCCATGGTTGTTCATACTACGACTAATAATAAAGAAGAGGGGGCATCGTGAGGCTCTCTTGGGGCCTCCTGGGGGCTTCTCGGAGCCTCCAAGGGACCTCTTGGCATCGGGAGGCCGTCTTGGGGCCCTCTTTGGGCAGTCGTGGGTCCCTCTTCGCGAGCTTCAGGGCCGTTGTTGAAGTCTACGGGGCCGTCCTGGGGCCGTCTCAACGACCACTTGGGTTGTCTTGGGGCCCTCTTGGGCCGTCTTGCGCGCCTGTTGGGGGCGTCTAGGGCCGTCTTTGGGCGATCTTGTGGGGCCTATGGGGCCGTCCTGGGGCGTCGGAAGCCCGAAACGGCGAGAACGCTACAAGCATTGAAGCACCATAGGACATCAATCTGGATGTCTCTTGGAGCCCTCCTGGGCCGTCTTGGGAGCCTCTTGGGCCCTCTGGAGGACATCTGGGGTCGTCTTGGGGCCATCTTGGTCGTCTTGGAGGCGCCTCGGGGCCCCGCGGAGCGGGCCTCCAGGAACACTTTTCAGGTGGCCGGCGGGGGCGGCCGAGGCTCCACGGGGAACCTTTTGGAAGGCCATACGAGTCCGATTTCTTCTTCATGTGAGGCGTTCATTTATATGGCCCATTGGCCGATTGTGGCGCCAATGGGATCTTATGTGGCCCTGCTGATGTTCATCGCTGGGCCGGCCTTGCTGGCTAACCCACATGGTTTTCGAGGACTGGCAGCCCCAGTTCAGTTTCCACACAGGCGTTCATTTATATGAACGCTCCGTACAAAAAGCACCTCGCGAGCTATGGAGCACTCTGAAATGCCCTGCCAGGCAATGGCGGGCCACGCGCGTCGCACAACTGCGCAACTCGGATCACAAAAGGGACGGCGAAGACCACTGTGCACAGCGTCATGCGCTACGTGACGCTCCAGCGCTCTGCGATTGGTGATGCAACAGCGCCGAGCGCCAGATGACGGGACGGCGCCACGCGCCGCGTGGGAACGCGCCATGTGGGAGCACTGCACTCCGCCATGCTTCCTAGGAGCCCACGCAAGGGGCGACGGTTGCGCAGTTCGCAGCCCCCGAAGGAACCGCGGGGTCTCGACTCGATCCGTGTGGCCCTGTACCCCGCCGTGCCTCCCAGGAGCCCACGAAACAGGCGACGGTTGAACAGTTCGCAGCCCCCGAGGGAGCCGCGGGGTCTCAAATGGTCTGCGTTGCCCTCGACTCCGCCGTGCGTCCCAGGAGCCCACGAAACTGGCGACGGTTGCGCAGTTCGCAGCCCCCGAGGGAGCCGCGAGGTCCCGACTCGATCCGTGTTACCCTGTACCCTGCCGTGCCTCCCAGGAGCCCGCGAAAGTGGTGACAGGTGCACAGCTCGCAGCCCCAGGAGGAGCCGCGAGGTCTCAAATGCTCCGCGTCGGCCTCGCTTCCACCGTGCGTCCCAGGAGCCCACGAACGTGGCGACGGTTGCGCAATTCGCAGCCCCAGGGGGAACCGCGAGGTCTCAAATGCTCCGCGTCGGCCTCGCTTCCGCCGCGCCTCCCAGGAGCCCGCGAGCGTGGTGATTGTTGCACACTTCGCAGGTCTTGAGGGCACCGCGACGTCTCGAATTATCCGCGTTGCCCTCAGCCCCGCCGTGCTCCCCAGAACCCCACGAATGTGGCGAGCAATGACGCAAAACTTAGGAAACAGGAAAAGGGTGGGAGGAAGGAGGTGCGCGAGCAGTGCTTTGTTCAACACGACAACCCAACTCACGAAGGTAGGGACAACCACTTTGAGGTTTAGGACGCCGTGTGCCCCTGTGGCAAGCACAGGGGGCGGCGGATCGAAGACGCCTGCGGCGAATCACCGCCGCCCCCTCCCTTCTGGAAGCGCCCATGCGGCCAAACGTTGGCCGAAATCTGGCCCAGCTATTGTATTATGTGTTCCCCCAGCCGTTGTGGAACCCCTGTGGGGAAGACTTGGGGGAAGACAAGCAAGAAAACGAGGAGGAGCAGGAGGAACGGGAAGAGAAAGAGGAGGCTTCTTTAGGTCCTCTTGGGGCCTCCTGGGTTCTTCCTGGGAGCCTGTTGGGGGCCTCACACGGGCCTCTTGGGGGCATTCTGGGGCCTCTTAAGAGCTTCTCGGGGGCCTCTGCAGGCCTCTGACCTTGCCATTCGGTGGCCATCTTGGGGTCCTCTTTGGGCAGTCGTGGGACTCTTTGGGCGCTGCAGGGCCGTTTGGGAAGTCTATGGGGCCGTCTCGGGGCCGTCTCCACGGCCACTTGGGTCGTCTTGGGGCCCTTTTGGGCCGTCTTGCGTGCCTGTTTGGGGCGTCTAGGGCCGTCTGTGGTCGATCTTGTGAGGCCTATTTGCAGTCCTGGGGCGTCGGAAGCCCGAACAGGCGAGAACCCTGCAAGCATTGAAACATCAGAGGGAATCAGCGATTTTGGCCTCCTGGAGGTCCTCTTGGAGCCTTTTTGGGGCGTCTTGGGAGTGGAGTCTCCTAGGCCGTCCGGAGGACATCTGGGGTCGCCTCGGGGCCATCTCGCCATGCAGAGACCATCTTGGGGGCCACCTTGGGCCATCTTCGCCGTCTTCGAGGCATCTTCCAGGCCACCTCGGGCCATCTCGGCCGTCCTGCGAGGAGCTTTTGTGCACGTCGAGGCCTTGGCGCGGCTTTCCGGGTGGCCGGCGGGGTGGGCCGACCGCCCACGAGGAACCTCTGCAGGAGGGCCGGGCACGGCCTCGAAGCTGGCCCGCCGTGCGCCCCCCTGGCAAGCCAGCCGGGGGCGGCGGATCGAGGACGCCCAGGGCGAAGCACCTCCGCTCCTGGCCTTTTGGGCGCGCCTGCGTGGCCGAGCGTTGCGGCCAGAGCTCGGCCAGGCGATCGGACGGCGTGCTCCCCCAGCCGTTGTGGGAGTCCTTCGGGGAACACGCGGGGGACAACGAAGAAGAGGAGGAGATGGTGGAAAAGGGGGAAGGATGAAGAGGAGGAGAGGGAGGATGAGGAAGAGGAGGGAGAGGAGGAGGAGGAGGAGGAGGAGGAGGAGGAGGAGGAGGAGGAGGAGGAGGAGGAGGAGGAGGAGGAGGAGGAGGAGGAGGAGGAGGAGGAGGAGGAGGAGGAGGAGGAGGAGGAGGAGGAGGAGGAGGAGGAGGAGGAGGAGGAGGAGGAGGAGGAGGAGGAGGAGGAGGAGGAGGAGGAGGAGGAGGAGGAGGAGGAGGAGGAGGAGGAGGAGGAGGAGGAGGAGGAGGAGGAGGAGGAGGAGGAGGAGGAGGAGGAGGAGGAGGAGGAGGAGGAGGAGGAGGAGGAGGAGGAGGAGGAGGAGGAGGAGGAGGGAGGAGGAGGAGGAGGAGGAGGAGGAGGAGGAGGAGGCGAGGAGGAGGAGGAGGAGGAGGAGGAGGAGGAGGAGGAGGACTCTTTGGAGCCTCTGGGGGCACTCTGTGGGCCTCCTGGAAGCTTCTGGGAGCCTCTGGAGGCCTCTTGGGGGATTGCTTTGGTCTCTTGGGGGCTTTTCGAGGCTCCTTAGGATGATGCCGTCTGATGCTGGCGGACGCCGTCTTGGGGGCCTCTCTGGGCCGACTTGGTTACGACTTGGGGCGCTTCAGGGCCGTCTCGGAGGCCTTCTTTGGCATCTTGGAGGTCTCCTGGGCCGTCTTGGGGCCCTCTTGTGGCTATCTTGGGAGCTTCTTGGGTGCTCTTGGGGCCATCTTGGTGGCCTCTGGGGCCGTCTTGAGCCGTCGGAAGGCCGAAACTGAGCAAACGCCAGAATCGTTCAGGCACCAACGGCTTCCTGACCGTCTTGGAGGCCTCTTGGGCGATCTTGAGGTCATCCTGGAGGCATCTTTTCCCATCTTGAAGACATCTTGGGACCATCTTGGGTCCTCCTGGGGCCATCGCAGCCGTCTTGGAGACTATCTTGGCCGTCTTGGAGGTCATCCTGAGGCCGTCTGGAGAGGGAAGACCGACGACCTGGGAAGTCTATCGGTCCTCGTGGAGACGATTCTTTTGGACGTTGAGGTCTTTCCGCGTTCTTCGGGGTGGCCGGCGGGTTAGGTCGAAGGCCCACTCGAAACGTTCAAAAAACACAATTACCAAACATTCGGCACGCCGTGCGATCCTGTGGCAAGACCACAGGGGGCGGCGGATCTAGTGGCCTTCGGCCCGGGCCTCTGCGGGCTTCTTGGGGGCTTGCTGGCGGTCTCGGGCGCCATCTTTGGGGGGAGGCCCCCCAGGGCCCGTTCGGAGCTGGTCGCAAGCTCGAGGGGATCGTTGAGTCTTACGTGGGCCTCTCAGCACGACCATAAAGAAAGGGAGGAATGGAGGAGCAGCGAACGGGAGGAAGTGAGAGAGCAGCGAATGGGAGGAAGGGGGGAGCAGCGAATGGGAGGAAGGGATGAGCAGCAGAGTCGGCCGTCCGATTCCCACTCTTGGGCCTCTCTGATTGGGTCCCTGTTGGAAGCCTCTTGGGCCCCTGCCGCTTGGGCCTTCTAGGACCAGTCTTGGGGGCTTCTTGGGCCAGTTCGGACGCCCTTGCGGCCAGACAGGCCAGTGCCCGAGCATCATACGACGAGCAAGTGTGTTTCAATGAGGGATTACGAGACCGCCCAGGAGGCCCCGCCACAGCCAAGAGGGCTCCAAGACTGGCTCCCAGAGTCATCTCGGGTATATGGGAGGGTTCGATTCTGAAGTACGCTCCAGAGGTCTCCGAAAAAAGGGCACGCGGCGCTCCCCAGGAGCGCGCGGGAACGGCGTCCCAGCAACGCGAGGCTTACCCGAGCAGTGGAGCCCGTCAGGGCCAGAGGCAGCGTAGTGAGTAGGCCTTGAATGCCAGCGCCAACTCTAGCCATGTTAGCACGCTGCACCCGACTCGGAACTCCAGGAACTCCTGGAACTCCTCCCCCTCATCTTCATCCCTTCCATCCTCCCCATCCTCCCCCTCTCCTTACGTCCTTCTAATCCTCCTCCTCCTTCTCCTCCTCTTCCTCTTCCCCCTCTCCTCCCTCTCATTCCTCTCCTCCTCCCGGTCACACGCCCAGACGTGTTGGTACGGCGGGTCGGGCTTTTCGCCTGAGTCCTCCTCACCAATTACGATCCCGAAGCTTGAAATGTGCCACAGTTTCACGTATGGAGGGGGGGTGGTTGTCAAAATGTTGTTCTCGCCCTAGCGCCGCGCACATTCGTCCTAAAGTTGTGCAACAGTTTCAAGGATGGAGGGATTTGGCTTTTCAAAAAGTGTGGCTCTTCCCCTAGCGCCTCGCGCGTTCGTCTTAGCAGCAGTTTCACGGATTGACGGGGGGTGATTTTCAAAGTGTGGCTCTCGCGCAAGCCCGGCGCACATTCGTCTTAAATGCTTGCAGCCGTTTCATGGAAGGGTGGGGACTCGTTTTCAAACTATTGCTCTCGTCCCAGCGCCGCGCGCATTCGTCTTACAAGTTTGCAGCACTTTCAAACGTGGAGGGCGGCTCCTTTTCAACACGTGGCTTTCCTCTCAGCGCTTTCACATTCGCCTGGCACATTTGCAGCAGCTTCGGGGATGGGGAGGGGCGTTATCAAAATGTGGTTCCCGCCTGAGCACCGCGCGCGATCGCTTTGACGTTTGCCACAGCTTCGCGGGTGTATGGAAGGCAATTTTGCGCAACATCTGGCTCTCGCGCCTCGCTCATTCGTCTTCAACGCTTGCAGCAATTTCAATGATCGAAGGGGAGTTGTTTTCAAAATGGTGCTCTCGCTTCAGCTCCGCACCCATTCGTCTCAGAAGTCCGTACGAGCTTCCCATGGAGGGTGGTTATTTTCAACGTGGGGCTCTCGTCTCAGTTCCGTGACCATCGTTTCAAACACTTGCAACGGTTTCAAGGGTTGAGCATTGGTCGTTGTCGAAAAGGGGTCTCGCCTCAGCGCCGTGCGCATTCGTTTATTAATGCAACGCTTAGCAGGATTCGGGCCGGGCGAAAGGGGGGGATTGGGAAAGGGGGGGTTACGAAATTTGCTGCATGCAGCTGGTTTCGGCCTCACCGAGGGGCCCATTCCTCGATACATAGCCGCCTCCGGCGCCGGGAGGCGCCGGGAAAGTCAGCTACGCGAGCTGATTCTCAAACCCCCCCTTTGCTATCCCCCCCTTTCGCCCGACCCGAGCTTAGCAGGATGGAGGATGGCTTTCTTCACAATGGGATTTCTCGCTTGAGACTCCGTAGAGTCTGAAGGCCCAGAAATTCCGCGCGTGCAGCGTTCCACGGATCCGTGGCGGCTCTTTTTCAAAACGGAGCTGCCGCTCGAGACTTCCTCGAGGTTCAAGTGCACATAAGTCGGGGGAGAAAAAGATACGGATACGTGTCGTCCCCCTTCGTTTTCGGCCTTTCTTGGTCCTCCTGGGGAATCCTCGTTGTCACCGCTGGATTCGCCTCGAAAGTCTGGTCAGAACGCACCCCAAGAGAGGTCCGGGGACAACACGTACCCGTATCTTTCCGCTCCCCAAATAAGTAAGCTTGTGCAGCCATTACACGAGTGTGGGTCGGTCATTCTTCGAGAGGGGATATCGTTTGACATTTCGCTGAACTGTATGATCATAGTTTTTTCCGTGTTCCTGATTACGCGCCAGATCAATGCAAGGCAATTCCTTTTCAAAGCGTGGCTCGACAAACTGGCAGGTACAACTGTGCTGGTCTTTCAAAGGGGGCGCGTCTAGTAGCGAAGAAAATAGATTTGTAGGGGCGTGTGAGGAGGGTGTATTCCAGTATCGCTGATGCATCTTAGGTTTACTCTGGTCCCCCTCCTCCTACTCTTCCTCCTCCTCCTCCTCCTCTCCCGCTCCATCTTCCTCTCCCGTTCTCCCTCCTCCCCCCCTCCCCCAGTGGAAATGGGGGGGTGAAAGGCGTCCTGGGCCCTCTTCAACGTCTGGCGCGTGGCGTTCCGGCAGGGCGCCCGCATCGGCGCGCGCTCCCGGGGTGGTCGTCGTCGTCGTCGTCGTCGTCGTCGCCGTCGCCGTCGCCATCGCCCTCGCCGTCGCCGTCGCCGTCGCCGTCGTCGCCGTCGCCGTCGCCGTCGTCGCCGTCGCCTTCACCGTCGCCGCCGCCGTCGCCGCCGTCGTCGTCGTCGTCGTCATCGTCGTCGCCGTCGTCGAGGGGAGGCGGCGGAGGAGGAGGAGGAGGAGAAGGAGGCGTTTAATGATCTTGATGATGATGATGATGATGATGATGATGATGATGACGATGATGATGATGATGGTGATGATGATAATGATGCTGATGATGCTGATGATGATGGTGGTGTTGGTAGTGGTGATGATGATGATGGTGCTGCTTCTGCTGATGATGATGATGATGATGATGATGATGTTGCTGTTGGTGATGATAATGTGGATGATGATCGTGGTGATTATGATGACGATGATGAGGATGATGATGATGCTGATGATGATGCTGATGATGATGCTGCTGCTGATGATGATACGATGATGGCGATGACGATGACGATGACGACGATGATGCTGCTGCCGATATTGTCGTTGTTGCTGCTGCTGTTGTCGTTGTCGTTGTCGTTGTCGTTGCTCTTGTCCGTGTTGTCGTCTTGTTGTTGTGGTTGTGGTTTTGGTTTTGGTTGTGGTTGTGGTTGTTGTTGTTGTTGTTGTTGTTGTTGTTGTTGTTGTTGTTGTTGTTGTTGTTGTTGTTGTTGCTGTTGTTGTTGTTATTGTTGTTGTTGTTGCTGCTGCTGCTGCTGCTGTTGTTGTTGTTGTTGTTGTTGTTGGTGTGATTGTCGTTGCTGTTGTTGTTGTTGTTGTTGGTGGTGTTGGCGTTGTTGAAGACACCGTGTTTCAGAGGCCCCCCTGGGGGAGGGTGGGGGGGCGCACCGCACCGCGCGCACCGTATCGGGCGCACCGCACCGCGCGCACCGGAGCGCACCGCACCGCGGGGAATCCGTAGGCATCGTAAGGATTCCTAGGGAATCCTCAGGAATCCCCAGGGAATCCCCAGGGCGTCGTACGGAGTCCTTCGGAATCCCTCGGGCACCCTTAGGAATCCTTAGGGAATCCAGAGGTACGGGATCCCCAGGGACTTCTTAGGAATCCTAAGGGGCCAGGGAATCCTCAGGAATCCCTTGGGTGTTCTATGGAATCTTCGGAATCCTTGGGGAATCCCTGCGGAATCCTGAGGAATCACTTGGGAACCCGACGGGATCCGAACGAATCCTAATGCGTCCCTAGGGAAGGCCTAGGGCGTCCTACGGAATCTTTTGGAATCTTTAGGAAACCCTTAGGAATCCTTAGGGAGCCCTGAGGAATCCCTAAGGAACCATACATAATCCCCAGGGAATCATTAGGAATCCTTAGGAATCCGAAGGAGTCCCCAGGGAATCTTTTTAGGAATCCGGATGGAATCCTCAGGAATCCCCGGGGAGTTCTATGGAATCTTCGGGATCCCTATGGAATCCTTACGGAATCCTGAGGAATCCCTCGGGAATCCTACGGAATCCTAAGGCATCCTAATGCATCCTTAGGGAAGCCCTAGGGCGTCCTGCGGAATCCTAAGGAATCCTTGTGAGAGCACCAGAGGCTTCTGAGATGCCTCTGAGCGGCTTGCTTCCGGGAGTCCTCTGAGAGCTCTCTGAGAGGCTTCTGACAGGCCTTTGAAAGGCCTCCGAGATGCTTCTGAGAGGCTTCTGAGAGGCATCTGAGGGCTTTCTGAGATGCCTCTGAGAGGCCTCTGAGAGGCTTCTGAGAGGCTTCTGTTACTCCTGTAGTTCTACCTCCTTGTTCTTCCTCCTCGTGGGAGGAGTGAGACGATTCTAGACCCCTCCTTGTGCGAGTACCTCCTTGTTACTCCTACCTCCTTCCTCCTTGTTGCTACTGTCCTCCTTCATCCTATCCAAACTTCGATTATGATGATGATGGTGAACATGGTGATGATGACGATGGTGATGGTGATGAGCATGATGATTATGATTGTGATGCTGACCATAGCGATGATGCTGATATTGATGATTATTGTTATGATGTTGACGATGATTGCTGTAATGGTGATGACGATGATGGTGATGATGCTGACTATGAAGATGATTACCATGGTGATGTTGACGACCACGATCATGATGATGAACTTTGTGTTTTCATGATAATGATGACGATGCTAAACATGACGGTGGCAGTGATGATTATGCTGACGATCGTGATGAAGGTCGAGTATGATGCTGATGATGCCCCTACCCCTTCCCCTATTCAATGTTGGAACATTTATGTCGCATGTCTCCCTCGCCTGAGGAGACGGATGGGGAGGATGATGAGGCTGAATCAGGATGCTTGGGGAGAGGAATGATGATGATGATGAGGATGATGATGCCTAGGATGTGAGGGAAATGATGATGCGGCGAAGGATGGCAAACATCATGATGGAGAGGATGAGGAGGAGTATGACGATCATCTATACGAGGATGACAAGCATGGGGATGGCAATGATGAGAATGATGGGGAAGACGATGATGCATATACGTATGATTCGTATTCTTCTGTTCGCAGTGTTGAGTGCTATCGCCCTCCTTGTCCTCCATCCTCCTCCCTCTCCCTTTTGCCTCTTCCTCGATCTGCTCCCCCTCTTCTCCTCCCTTCAGCCTCCTTTTCGTCCTCCTCCCCCCCCTCGCCCCCCGTTCTCTCCCGTCATCCGTGTTCTGTCCCTGCCAGGGGGAGGGAGGGGGAGGCGACTTTAAACGGAGAGGGTTAAAGACGAGATGTAAATCGAGCATGCACCGCTGCCGTGCCTGGCTCAAGCCGGGCCCGGCCGAACATGTGGTTGTGCCTCACCGAGGCGCACTACTCGCATCTGAGATCGGAAAAGACCTTTCTATTGAAGATGCCCCTTCTATCCTTTACTCCAGATCCCATGCTTCATCTTGTTCTCTTGCTCATGCGGTATGAGCCAAAGCCTGGGATATGGGAGCGCCTAAGGCGGAACATATATCTTGGCTTACCAGTGCGTTTTCGACTTGGTAGCGGAGCTGGCTACACTCTCGTGTGGCTGGCTCTCGCTCTAATACCCATCATCCACGGCACAACTTGGTGGACTACTACTACGGTGGAATACCATGTTGCGCCGGCTCTGCGAGGAGCGGAGCCAGTCCGCGATCGGGCTAGCGGGGCGACCCGCGAGCTCGAGACGCTCTCTCCTACCTCACTGCGCTACTTCACTCCCGACTTCCACCAGATGCCAATCGGCAACTCGATCGAGAACGTGGTCACTCTGCGGGGCTACCCGCAGCGGGGCCACCTGCATCCCGTGCCGGTCAGGCGCCTTACGGCTACTACGCCCGAGCCTGACAAACCACAGCCTAAACCAATCACCGAAGCCGAGATGCACATGCACTGGATCAAGATAACTATCTTCGGCATTCTATGGGTGATAATGGGATGTGCTGTGGGCTACATGCGGCAGGGGATGGACGACGCGCGTACTACCGGCCCTTCTTGGGACCCAGCCGGTACTACGCCCTTTCGCGAGTACGTTCGCGAAGTACATGCATGGATAAACGTGACGAGCGGCAATATGACGCCACCTCAGCAAGCTGCAGCACTACAACGTGGTCTTCAAGGCCTTGCTCGTCGTATCGCCATGCAGGTCCCCTCCCAGATCATCAATTATGGTGTAAATGTCAACGGACAGCCAACGGATGCAGTTACTTATATACTTTATCTATTGAGTACCAAATTTGAAAATCTGGAAGATGAGCGCCAGCTCAACTCTGGCACTGCCCTTATCGACTTTCGTGTCGAAAGCGGCGAGCGAATCGACTCAGTGTTAGCTCGATTCGAGATGGCCCGTGACGAGGCTAACTCTGTTGGATTTGTCATCCCCAACTTTCAGATCCTAACGCTGATCCTTTTCAGAGCGTTAGGCGTTGGCGCGTCACGAGCCCAACACCTGCTGGAGCCCTTCAATCATCAGATGCCCAGAACGCAAGCAGACTATGATAGGCTGCTGACCAGGATGAGGAACTACGGGCATGTTGCCGAGCGCTCTCCTGGCAACATTGCGGGCATCTTCACAGGGCACCACGCACATGCAGGTGTCTACGCCACGACTGCGGGGTCACCCGCTGGTCCTGGCGAGCCAAGTCCCTGGGCTGATTCAGCCGATATGCCCAACGAGGCCACTGCCCTCTTAGGGCAGACCGGCCAGGCATCGGCAGAGGCAGCGGAGGCGAACGCCTGGTCGAACTACACGCCGGGCGCCGCCTACACTGCAAGCCCGCCCTCGGGCACAACCCTCTGGGGCCAAGCGGAGTCATCCGCTCAAGGGTCTCAGCCACCCTCTCCGTTTGAATCTGGCACTGACACAGATACCTCATCTGACGGTGATCACAATGGTTTGGTCTCTGCTGGCAATGACTATCCAGCTGATGACACTCACCTTTCTGAACAACAAAGAGCGGAAGCCGCTTTTATGGCTTATCGCAAATCAAAACGCCGTTGGAGGCGCATTATGAAGAAACCGGTCAGAAAAGTGAGACGTGCAGTACGCCGATATTTCAAACGCTATGGAAAGGGTCGTGGCAAAGGGGGTCGCAGACGCCGTATGCATGGTAGGGGTATCACTGCTTTCCTCACGTCCTTAACTGATGTAGTTTTTGAAGAAGTTCTTATCGGAGGCAAAGGTCGGGGTCACAGGCGGACCTCTGGTAAGGGAAAAGGGCGGAGGGGTAACCCTAGGGACGCTTCTGGCAACACTATGAAGTGTCATACATGCGGTAGTACAGAGCATTTGCGCGATCATTGCCCGAAGGGGAAAGGAAAGGGATCCGTACATTTGGCTCAAAACTCTTTTATGGATGACATAGACTACATTGACTACGAGTTTTACGTCAATCCAGAAGCGGCTCCCGCCGCGGGCTCCTCCACGTACTACGTGATGGCCCGCTACGCTGAGCGACCGTAGCCCTGGAAGAG